TGGGATTACTGCTATTCTTCCTTAAGCAGTGCACGACTGCTTAAAAAAAAATCAAATAGAAAAAAAAAGCCCAACAACCCCAAATTACTGGGTATAATGTACTTAAATCGGGACTTATAATAAACGGATTGTCAAGTCCCTCTGCAGATCACTCCAGACTTTTCTGCCTGGGTACTGGCAAATGGACAAAATTCTCTAAATTCTTGCATGTCCTGGCATGTGTACGGCTGCCTGAGTCTGTTCCTCATCATCTCTCTACTGTATTCTTGGAAGTTGTATCTTCTTGTCAGGCAGAAACAGGAAACGGTGCCTTTGGAGGAATTTCTACCATATGTCAAGCTAGGGAAAGCAGTCGGGGGCCGGGGCTGGGGGGTGTGTGTGGGGGAAACACCGTAGTGTGGTTAGCAGAGATTTCAACTGAGAAAAGTTCCCTCCCCTCCCTTCCCCCTCATTACAAATGGAAAACTACAAAGAATGAGAACACGACTTCTTGAAGGCCAACAATTAAATCACCGCAGAGCCAGAAAGCAGCCTTAAGTGCCTTAAATCTTGCTGCTCTCCTGCCCATGGGAGCAACTGTCTCCTAAAAATGACTAGCTTTTTACCGCAGAAGAATAGGGGAGCAAGACTAGGCACTTTTTTTTTTTTCCCAATTAAATTAAATAAAAGAAGGTAATAATAAAACAAAAGAATGGAGGAAGATAAAGACAGAAAATTATAGATACCTATTTGGAGATTTTGAATAACTTCTTTTTCAAGGCTTCCCTAATGGAGAACATCCTTCAAAACCCCCTAATTTGTTGATAAATGACATTATGCAAGTTGCATTTGTTCTCACCCATTACCACACTGGCAGAGCTTAGGAAACCAGTAATGTTGCTATGATACAAGGAACCAGTCATCTCAGTTCTGGCTCCTTTCCATGTATTTAAAAATATCAAAAAGCTTTAGAAAAAGCCAAGAGGCTGGGGAAATTCTTGTGAGGCTATGCTGCAATTCAGTGCAGCTTTTGCAAACACTGAAAATAGGGAATGGGAAAAGATGACTGTAAAAGAGTTGGGTATTTTGTGGATGGTGATGCACATGTAAACACCCAAGTGATGGCAATGGATTTAGGAAGCAGTAAGACATATACAGCTATATACACATTCTTAAGTCCTAGGAAGCTTCTAAGTGCCTGATCCACAAACTGACTAAAGCTAAACATTTTTCAAAATCTAAAAAAATCACGTGGGTATCTTCAAAATTCCTTTCAAAACACGCCACAGAAATAGCAAAAAGTTAGTGTATTTACACTTTAAATTACACTGAAGGGAAAGAAAGCCAAGATTTCAACTGCAGCTTTAAATATCAAAAGTGAAGGAAAGAAAAATCACACTGCTTAAAATATGTCATTACTCTTAATATTACTACTGAACCTTCATGCTATGCTTTTTATCAGCTAATATCAAAAGGGTATTTATCTCTTGAAATTAGATGCTTGATATAATCTGTAGCAAACACCTAGATACCTAGAAGAATTTAGGCACTTTGTTTTAATTTTTGGCACTGCTTAAGAGTGTGACAAGTAATCCACAAAACATCTACCAACCTGCTTAGGCAATTCAACATCCATGGACTTGTTGGCTCTGCGATGAAACTTAGTCATCTAAAGCTAAACCAAAACTCTGGGCTCCCTCCCTGCCCCCAGGAAAGAAACTCTGTGGCTGGACTAAACCAAAAAGATGTAAGCTTCCTCTTGCTTTGCCTACTTTCCCATAAACCTTGTATGCTCTCCTGTACTGTGGTTCAGATTTAGCAAAGATTTTAATGACTAGATGCACACCTACAATGCCTTTAATTTAAAAACAAATAAATAGTCTTGAGACACCTGTAGTAATAGTTCATGAAAGCTTTTCAAACAAGTAAGGAAAAAAAATTCAGTCACTCAGAAGCAGGATGGTAGTGCGCTATTGTAAATTTGTTCCTGTATTAGAATCTGTAACAATTTTAAATAAAGACTCAGACATGTTACTATGAAATACTGCAGGTATATTGCACTAGTTCTTTCTTCTACTGATAATCTCTTATAACCACAGGAAGATCATCTTCTCCTGAAAATGTACAGAAGTTCCTTTTTTCTTCTAAAATCTTGTGAAAAATATCCAGCAATTACCTTGTGGAAACAGAGTAGAATTCCTCTTTGAAAAGACACTCCTTGTCTGCCACCGTTATATTTTTTACATCTTCCGCTTTTATTCCCAAATTAGATCCCATTATGGTCAAAAGAATTCCACCATTTAGTGGTCCAGTTTTTGGCTCAATCTGTGTTTGCATGAGGGAAAGTAAAAAAAAAAGCAAAATTAAATACTGCAGTGACCATGTTGCTCTTCCATATTATTTAAAGCTACTTTGACTTATCCGTACTTAAAATGCAAAAGATGTTTCTTGTAGGACTGCCACAAAAACATGCTATGTAACTCTTTAATGTTAATTAATAATTTGCTAGCTCAGAACCAGTATTCATCAACTGCAGATTTCATGTCTCCTGTGGCAGACTGTTATCTATAAAGCTCTTTCCTGGTGTTTACTCTGTTTTATGTTTGCTTCCTCTGCTAAAGCACCATGATTTTGAAAAGCAAGTGGATCAGGCTCCTCTCAAAATCATTCCACGGAGCTTTTCCAGCATTTTTTTGCCATGATTTTCTCCCTTTAGGTTCAGACCAGAGCAGCACACCTTCCTAACACACAGTGCTGCCCCACATCGTGTCTTCAAAAGTTCCTCTAGTCCCCTGATCTTCCCTACTGCATCAAATGGTAGGATGCTGCAGTACATGGGCTGATGCTAATTAAATAATTTGCAATTAAAATGAGGACTGTGAAAATCCTGCAGTTGCAGTGGACTTCTCAGGTTGAAACATGGCCCGAACAGGCACCTGAATTCTGAATATTTGTTAGGAGGCTAACCTGCTTTCCTATGTAATATTTGGAGCACCTCCAGCAAGACCTTTTCAGGTCTTCAGCTTTGGAGGGCTGTAAGTTTACCATCAAGAAGAGGGAGGTTGCACAGTCCCAAATGTGGTAATTGGAAGCCAAACAAATACAGCTTCTGAAAGTCTGGACTTTAACGTCTGCTCCATCAAAATCAGAGTTTCTTAGATCTAAGCAAGTCTGAGCACAGAGACATGGCTGCTGCTGCCTGCTGCCCAGCCCAGCTCCAGAATCACTTGCTCTGTTTTCCCACTGGTTCAACTTCCTAAAACTTCTGCCCACTGGCCATCCCATAAATAAACTAGCTGAAAAATGACTCAATGGTTTGTGTAGATGTTTCCAAATATTTTGTGCAAATCTGAAGCTAACAAAAGCTTTGAAAAAACTAATATTTTAGTATTTAGTATTTAATCCACAATCACGTACAAACAGAATCCCAGGTGAAAACACTTTTATTTTTCTTAGTTTTCCTTTTCCTTCCCACTCAAATCATCTTTATCTGGGCACAGCTATCACACAAGTATTCTTCTCCACACTTTATGTTGAGATTTCAGGGTATTTGCCTTCCTTGGCAGACTTCAACTGTTTACCTGCCACTTTTTCTTAGATACACCATCATGGCCAACCTCATCCAGCATGCTGCTGGTCTGCCAGTACCCACACTGCACCTCTAACTCTACAGCCTCAGGAGATTCAGCGTCTCTACCAGTTTGAGCCACAGGTTTCAGAACTAAACAGTTCCTATTGAGTAAAACATCCCTGTTATGACCCTCAACCTCTGTCATATGGTTACCACATTTTGTGATAGCTTGGCATATGTTCTCATCAAACGGTGTGTCTGAGTTTCAAAGTACCACTGTCGCAGCAATTTAGATTTGCCCAATGGAAGTACACATCACTCTTTTCTTGACGATTATGCCCAGAGAAACAGCATTTGGCTGTTGCTGAAAAGGACAAGGATTTATCACTTCTTGCTTTGGCTACTGGTCGACCAAGGTGGACAACACTCTTCCCTCGCCCTGGGTGAATGCTCCAGCTGCAGAGTAAGTCAGGGGTGCACATTTGGCCTCTCTGACTTCTTACATTCAACTTCTACAGCCTTGGGTTTGATTCCGGTGTGGACTGGAAAATATCACTGACACCTGGAAAACACATTGTGACGCAGAAACAACCCGCTCCCTTATTAAATACTATTTAAAAGTCTAGTTTGAAGCCTGTTAATGAGCCTGCTAAGTGCTTGTAGTTCCACGAGCAGTGAACCTCTCTTATAGACTTATTTCAGGTAAAAAGGACTTCAGGAGAGAAAAAAATCCATGCTAATTCCCAAGAATCAAGTGCCAAGTTTAACCGTACACTGCTAGCCGGGCTTCTGGCACAGTGAGGACAAGGCTTGAAAAACAAGGAGTCTCAAAGGCTCCATTCAGTCTCTTATTTTGAGTCTTTGCAAACCTCTCACACACATCACTACTGGCATTATTTCCTTGCAGCTATTTCAGAGGCTTACTTAACACTCTAGGAAAAAAACTGCCTTTCAGTATGAGCTTGCTTGGATGCTTTCTCCTGAAAAATAATACACTGGTAGGGAGAGAAAAAAGCAATCTTACGCGAGTGATTTCTGGATGAGGACATGTGTTGGTGGGAGGAGCATGACAGAGTTTTTCATAAACGCACTTGCTGGGCTTGCCGTCTTCTTCACACCAAACACACTTATAGTCGCGATGGGCCGCGAGGCATAAGCTGCAGTCACTTCGTCCATAAGAGCAGTTGTACAGAGTCACTGAAATATGAACGATATATGCACTTAGACATTTTCCTCTGTTTTAAGGATATTCAGTGTGTTATAGGAAGGAAAACTAACCCTATGTACAAAGCCTGCCTGTTGCTTAGTTGAGTTGTGTGAAGAATATGCACACTCTGTACTTGACCCCTGAATGATACTAAGAGAAAACTGTATTTTTCCCTGTATGGAAAAACCTGAAATCTATCCATGTGCAGAGTATGAATAAACTACCAAATAGAACCCAAATGCATTTTTGTCACTCAGGCATTGTCAAAACGTTTAAGTACAAAGTCCTTTCTTTGACTATTCTCAATGAACCTGCCAACTGTTCAAACAAACAGATCCTCCTGGCATACCAGGAGTCAGATGTAGAAGGGTATAAACTTTTTATGGGTGTCAGTAGGGACAGACATCAGCTGGCATGGGACCTCTGCCAGTTGCGTATTTAAAGGAAGAGAGCTGCCTTTGTTGGCTGTTTCCAGGACATTTGGGCCCTTCCAAAATCATCACTAAAGCCTGAACCGAGTAGAAAGTTAACACTTAATGAAGTGTTATCCTTTGTTCAAGTTAATACCTCTTCATTTCTCCATTCTTCTCTATTTTCTTGCTTTTGTTTTCCCTTTTGTCTTGAATTGCTGTCCTGAGGTATGCCTTATTCCTTCTGTAGTGGGGTTTAATTCCAGTTTTTCTGAGCCAAGAAATCAGATCTGACAGTCATGCCTCTCTTACTGATGAACCACGCACCAACTGTCCCAGACACTAAGCTTGTTTTGGCCCCCATCAATCTTTAGCATGATGCACAGTCACTGAACAAAATTAATTTTCCCAAATAGATGCAAAGCCTTGAGACATAGCTGGGTGGTTCAACACCATAAGGAAAGCCTGGGCTTGCAAGAAAACATTTGGAGATGCACTTGAGAGCTAGCCCAGGAGAAAACACACTGAAAAGATGCCACACGTTCCTCTAGGGGAAGCGTGCAAGTTGCACAGATTACTCAGTGTGTGAGTGCTGTGCTTCCCTGGGAAGGTGAGCCAATTATTGTAAAGAGGGGAACTTTTTGTTCCTTCCTTTTGTGCTCCTTCCCTTCATCCCTGCTTCTCTCTATTTTTGGCTGCTCTTTTTTTCTGGCCACACAGCCTCACCCTCTGCCACTGAGGCTCTGGCACTTGTTGAGTCTTCTTGTAAATCAACTTAACTTACCAGAACAGCAGAAAACTATCCAGGTTTCCTCCTGTGCTCTTTCAAGAGTTAAATGTGCTCACAGATGGGAGTGGGGAGTACAAGACAAGAGACTCAACATCTCCCCTTTCCACTAGTGATAAGCTGTTTTATGTGCTCATTAAGTCTCAAAAAATGGTACCCTTCATGACATTGGGTTTTTTTTAAAGGAGTTTCATCCTTAAAGAAGCAGGAAGCAAAGTGAAGTAAACAGAGGTGATCAGATGGGGACAAAAGAGACTAGGATAAATCCCTTTGAGACTGCATATGGTAAAGGCCACCAAAAATGTCTCTTTAAAGAAAGCTTTTATTCTCAGAGGAGCAGGACTCTAGGAAGGACACCAGCAAAAGCACCCTCCAGTCACTAACATTTCAATGCACTTGATATCTTCCTAGATAACAGCAGCAGCAGTAGCTTTTTAAATCTAATTCCAAGAGGCCACCATGTCAGATTCCTACTGAAATGAAAAAGCAAAATGAGAATGCTGATTTTCCATTATTTTTCAGCAGTGCCCTTATTCCCCTGCCAAGCATCAACAATATTACAGATGCCCAGAACTTGGCTACAGTCTCTCTGCCACTTGCATGAGAGCATACAATCTCATAAGGGCAGTTTTTCTCTAAATGATGCATATTATTTAGACCTCGGCACTTTAGTAGAATAACACATTTTTATTCTTTCCCTTACACTGAGGAGTTAATGCAATGATGAAGGCTGGTTTTAACCCTTCTTACATCTAATCAGCATATCCACTTGATTTCAAGTGGCTCTACCAGCATAAACTCAGTTGAGACACCACTGGAGGTGTATACAAAGCTGAGGGACTTTGGCATTTGTAAGAATGAATCAATGAGAAAGAGCATCCATTTGATTCAACCCCTATCTTGAATTCTCAAGGAATCGATGAGCACAAAGCAGGAGTAGCATCATTTGCTTCATATAGTGAGCACATCAATACAGAAGTCACTGAGCAACAAATATAACCCAAGCAATATTTTCAACAGTTTGTGTGCTAACTATTCACTCCGTATGTTGGATGTGAACACAATGCTGGGGAAAAGCACCGGACTGACAGCCCTGGTACGTTGCTGTTTGCTTTTATAAGCAGAAGGGACGGCGCGGGCAGTGGCAAGGAAAAGTTTCCTCGCTGCAAATTGCTTTCGCAGAAACTGGATTGCTTTCTTAATCCAGCACTCTGAAAGGCTGCTACTGCACAGGCACTTGAGCAGGTAATATTGTTAAACAAATCTTCCCCTTGCCTTCCTAAACCCTGCATTTCCCACCCACACTGCCACATGGCCACCTGATACAGCATGGGAATATGCTTACTGAATGACTTTGTTATCCTGCATTGGCTGGACAGGGATTTTCATCCCATCCCTCAGTAAACAATGTCAGTGCTGCAATGTCTTGACGTCCCTCACATTCAGTTGCATAAGTGCAATGGAGAAAGCTACGGCCTTAAAGCATTAAACACTCCCCCTCTTCACTGATCAGCTCATTAAATGTACCAGCAGCAAGCCACTCATTAGATTCAGACTCTTATCCATCACCTTGAGACACCAGCTGTGAAATCATTGATAAAAAGGACAAAGGATAAAAGGGATATATCGGATTTCATACTGGTCAGAACCCCCGATGGCTTGAGATGTAAAAACGCTATCGTAACTTAGTATTCACTAAGTGTTATACAAAGAAAGGGCTCTTTCACTGGCAGGTTCAAAGGTGCTTCTCAGTAGCAACCATATACCCAAAGCCAATTCTTTTCAAGATGCATAAAAAACATTATGCTCCAGATTTCATATGGCAAGGAAATTAAAAAGCAGGAGAGAATTTGGATTAAAAAAAAACCCCTTTTATAATAAAAAGAGACATTTGTTGATAATTTTTCAATCTCCCTCTTGCAAGGGTTCTATATTTCAATTCAAATGATAACATTTCTTTAATAAATCAGCTACTTCTTTTTTTCTATGTTTTTCTCAGACTGGGAAAAAAGATGTTGGGAGTATTTGGTCAAAATTCTGCAGTTTGAAACACCACAGCCTTTGGAATGGAAATTAAGACAGTGTGAGATTGTAATGTGATCTCCCTGTTACATTCATGCCAGGTCCTCTTTTAAGTGCTTTTAACACTGCACACAGAGCCATAGGAAAAATCCTCTAAAAACATACTTCTATGCTGCCAATAAGAAAGGGAATAAATTGAAATATTGTACAGATGGAAGAATATGGTCTGAAGATTTAATCTGCAGGGGAAATTACTTGAGGGCAGTATTAGTCTTCCTGACGTTGACCCATCACACAAGTAACAAGTGTGTTGCCTCGCAGTTTTTGCAAGATTATGCCTTAAACTTCACTCCAAAGAAGTGTGAGGTATGTCCCAGCGCCCAGATATTGCTCCACTGATTTTGATGGAGCTTCCTCACCTCAGCTCAGGACTAGGCTCACAGACATAATTGCTTCATTGTTGTACATTGAAAAATAAAGAAATAAGCAATTTATATCAGAGACCAAGTCTTTGTGCTATAAAACTTAATATACTTCTGGTTGTCATAGAAATAAATGAATGAAGTAATCAGCTGAAAGCACACTGAATGTTTCTGTGTATTGCTGATTGCCAGCAGATGTAAAGACTGCAGAACTTGTCCGAGCTGAGACCCAGCTGAAAGTTGAGATTTCAGACGAAGTCCGTATGAGCGGCAGTGAGAAGGATCCCCCCTCTGCTATTGGAGGCGGCAAGTTCATTGAGGAAGGGGAAATGGCCATTGAAAAAACATAAACTACTTAAGTACGTTTGAACTGTGAAGCTTCGCTATTAAGATTGCCCTTCAGAGCAAAAGCAAACTTGAAAATAATGGTGGCATATTTAAAACAGCCTTTAATACATACAACACTGATGTTTAATTCATGAGTTTAGTATTAATAACTTTTGATCTGTCAGATTTCATTGTTTCACCCAAACCATTAAAATCTACAAAGGTAACATTCTTATTCACATGACTCCAAATTATGAAGGAATAGATTTCTGTTTACTGTAATTAACCTCCCTTTAATCCTGTATTTCATACGTACCCATCAGTTTGCTGTCAATCTTGACCTTATCTGTTCTTATGGATAAGTTAAGTTGTAGGGTTTCATTTGCACTATAGGAGAACTGGAAAAGATGACACAATAGAGATATTTATACCTTCATTTAGCAAGTTTAATTTCATGCGTTTTCTATGATTCTCAATAATCAGAGCTGTGAAGGTTTTAGAAACTATCCCAAATCGTATGGTCTTTTTTTCATCTTGTATTTTCTATAAAATACATTTATAGAAAAATGTTTTAATGAACCTAATCCTTCACAATCAGAAATTTTCAAGTATCAAGGGACAGCAATATCTGAATACCCGCTTTTCATTAATTTAATTTACATTTGGTTATAAGTATCCAAGTAGCAAAGGTAATGTTCAAATTCAGTAAGTATAGCTGCTGACCCTGCTGAGTTCTCCCTTTTCACACCACGTGGCCCCATTACTTCTGTGGACACAGCAGACTCGCACCACATGGAGGGGAAATCTCTTGCATCTTTTGCAGTGCAACCCCCTCGTTACAGCCAAAGCACAAAGTTCACATGCTCCAAGACATGAGCTTCTGCTCAGGTTGAAAGACAGCAGCAGTAACAACCGGTGGGAAAGAAAAAGAGCAAAGAAAAAGCTTTATAAAGCAAACACTTTGTGCTAGGCTCAAATGCTGCATAAATGCTAATTAGCTCTCAAAACTACTCTGTTAGTAAGCTTGTAAGAAATAAAGGTTAAAGTCAGCATAACATTTGTGAGTCCAACTTTGGTAAATAGACTATTTTTTTGAATATTATTTCTTTTCTCTGTAAAATAAACCAGAGTGAAAGAAGCATAGCTAATAAGTAGCCAAACAACAATATGCTGTTACCATTCCCATTTTTACAGACGTAAAATGGGAAAGATAATGAATTGGAGAAGGAGAGCTCTGAAATTCTCATCTTTTATACTCAATGATTTCACCAGATTGCATAAAAAATGAAGAATAAAAGAGGAATAGACCTGAATTCCTCCAGTGACAGTTCAATGAATCCATGGATTGCATAGATAGAGAAATCAAGGACAAAGATTGAGGGCTTTGAGGGGAGACCCCAGGAGCTCTAAGCAAAAGCTGCTGCCTTTGACTGCTACTGCCAAAGGAGAATCTCCATCAGAGGTGACTTTCTTCTCTGAGGGAAACCAATATTATCCCTATATTTCTGGACACCTGTGGACACTGGAACTGTAAGAACTGAATATATTTGGTAGGTGAATCATATTTTTGCATTTACCTCTTTACTCATGAATGAAAATTTTCCTTCATCTGATTCATCAACAGGAGCTTCGAATTCAAATTGGCTGTTTCCAACCACAAATTTTTTACCCTATGGAAGAGAAAAGTTCAGCTTAAAATTTGTACAGCATCACCAAGCTTAATGAACTATCACTAGGCAATATCCTGTTCAGCTCTGGAAGTAATAACACCAAATGGAGAAGGCTAACCAGTTAAAGTCATCTCCTGAAAACAAAGCTAGTGAAACATCGAACCAGTGCAATCTGCTGCTTTGCTGCACCCTTCCAACATTTGTTAAAGGTGAAAGCACTAGAGCAGTACAAATAAAGCAAGCACATCTCTAGCACTCCGTTTCAGGGAACAATAAGAAAAAGCCAAGAGATGTGAATACTGGATGGCTTCACACATCAGATGTGTTATTAACAGAGCTGTGTGAGTTCTGCCCTTTAAGGTTTTCTCTGTAGGGATCCTGGGCAGAGCAGAAATGCAAGAATTACAAGGGAAACTGGAATAACATCTCTCAGACCTTGCTGGCTTTGTTTCTCCTGCCTCACCACAACTCCAGCTGTGTTTTCACAGTCTTTGATGGCAGCACCAGCTTAAGGGTATCCCTGCCTCCTAGACACCTTCTTCCCCCTCTCTTCTCCCTAGGCCCTAAATCCACTCATTCCTGCCTTTAGGCTGCAGCACATACTGACCTGCGCTGCACTAGCAAAACTCTCAGATTGGTTGTTCTGTGATTCAACTGAGGAACTGACCTGGCTAAAAAACAAACACATCACCCCACGACACTGTTTCTGTGCTGAGTCATTCTCTTGCTCTGGCCCACAGCACAGCTGCACAAACAGCTTTGCCAGAAGAACCAGAGAAAGAAATAAGTAGCAAGGATATTTTCAGGCAGTATTGTTGGTAAAGACTTATGAAATCAGACCCTACTGGGGACAAGACCACCTTCACTGTTTTAGAATCACAGAATACCTTGGGTTGGGAGGGACCTTCAAAGATCATCTAGTCCAACCCCCCTGCCATGGGCAGGGACATACATTCAGGTTGCTCAAAGCCCCATCCAACCTGACCTTGAACACTTCCAATGATGGGGCAGCCGCAACTTCTCTAGGGGCAACCTGTTCCATTGTCTCACCACCCTCATCGTAAAAAATTTCTTCCTTACATCCAATTTAAATACACCCTCTCTTTCAGTTTAAAACCGTTGCCCCTTGTCCTGTCACTACAGGCCTTGGTAAAAAGTCTCTTTCCGTCTTTCTTATAAGCCCCCTTTATATATTGAAAGGCCGCAAAAAGGTCACCCTGGAGCCTTTTCTTCTCCAGGCTGAACAATCCCAATTCTCTCAGCCTTTCCTCATGTCAGAGGTGTTCCAGCCCTCTGATCATTTTTGTGGCCCTTCTCTGGACCTGCTCCAACAGGTCCATGTCTTTCTTGTACTGGGGACCCCAGAGCTGGACGCAGTACTGCAGGCGGGGTCTCATGAGAGCAGAGTAGAGAGGCAGAATCACCTCCCTCGACCTGCTGGGCATACTTCTTTTGATGCAGCCCTGGATACGATTGACTTTGTGGGCTGCAACCACACATTGCTGCAACCGCACATTTCATCCACCAGCATCCCCAAGTCCTTCTCCGCAGGGCTACTCTCAATCCATTCATCCCCCGACCGGTATTGATATTGGGCATTGCCTCGACCCAGGTGCAGGACCTTGAACGTGGCCTTGTTGAACTTCATGAGAACTTCACCTTGATGCCTTCTGTGGATGTAAAGAACTAGTCCCTGCTTTTGTCCAGAACTGCTTGAGTCTTGGAGTACTCGGCAAAAAAATAATAGTTACGGTATTCCTCTTTCCTGCTCCAAGGGTTAGTAAGTTGTCTCCTGCTGTCATCTAAGCCCTGCGTATGAGGATCTTATCCTATTTATTTGTAGCTTCAATGTATTCTTCAATGCTGGAATCATTGGTAACTCACAGGCCACTAGCTTTATCCAATTAGTGCACTGGAAACCTTTCCTATTGCACCTTCACTGTGACAGGCTGGGTAGCAGACGCAAGAGCCCACCAAGGTTTGGGGCTGAGGAGGAGCACACGCTTTAACCAGGTAAAGGGCCTGACTCCAGTCTCTGGGAGGTTTATGTTATAGAAGGGAACAGACCTTTTACTTCTTCCTTCTCAGAAGCTGCATATAGAAAATAAGCTACTGACTGAGCTCTGAAAAGCCTTTTCTGAAAGTTTTACAGCCCATTCTGCTTTACAGAAAACATCTACATATTCCAAGTTTTAAAGCACCTTACAAATCCCTTTTTTGAGGAACGCTG